TGCTGCAAGCAGTCAGATATTTCAGATGGAATGACAAAATTTTTCCTCAATCAGGAAATAATGCTCCTGGGTTTGCCTGAAGGTTTCCAGCCTCTTAGCAGTCATGGTTTTGATGTGTTGTTTGACATTTGTCTCCTTCCCTAGAGTTCTCTTTGCTACTCTTCACCAATCCACAGCTATCATTTTTTTTAATACCAAAAGTCAGAAATTGTCTCCCACAAATGATGTTTTTGAATTATATTGCACTACGGTGCATAGCAACACTCTCTGGACTTACTAAATTATGCCAACTCTTTGTCTATTTGCACAGTAACTACTCTCATAGACAAACATTTTGATTTAGGAGGTAAGGGAGTCATAAGCCACTTTGGGTTTGCAGGGGTAGCTTTGTACCATAAAGCTGGACATGGCACTCTCTGGTCACATAAAGATGTAAGAATTTTAAGATCTCTGAGTGGTCCCATTAGCTATCCTCAAAGAACATTCCTATTGTCCTCCTAAGATGTTCCTTCAAGCCTGACTTTGATTTCGAGTAGCAGCAAACAATGCAACGATGTGATCAGAGCTGTAGGCAAGAAAAGGCACGTAAGATATGGTACTGTTCCTAACAGGATTTAGAGCCTACCAATTAGAGCCTACAGCAATATGTTAGAATATCATTAGGACATGCATATGACAGGGGCATAAATACAATAGGAAGTTACAGTGTGATGGGAAATTATGAGCCAGCAAGAAGTAGAGACAAGGAAGAAACAGAGAAAATAGTGTAAGAAAAATCCAAAGAGTGGAAATGAAACAAGAAGCCAAAATGGAACAGAAAAAGCAACCCAGGATTTCCGACTCGGTGATAGGAGTAGTTCTGTTCTAGTTCTGTCTTTATTGGTGAGGATCGGCTATGGTCATGGGGAGGCAATAAACAACTCCCAAGTCTCAGTGGTTTAAAACAAAAGTGTTTTGTTTTTTTTCTCTTTTCATTTCTCATTTCAAGACAAACACTAATTGCCTGGTTGTTTTACTCATCCTGGTTATCTAGAAACTTGGGGTGATTAAGCAACCACTACCTTGATGCTGTTTGTAAATGCTAGAGGAAAAAGAGAGTTCGGGAACACTTTAAAACTGGAATCACATGGTTCAGCCCAGATGCATTCCATAGCACTTAACTCATTGGCCAGAACTAGACACACAGTCCCATCTAACCACAGAAGGACGTGAAATCCAACCTTCCTGCCATGTGATCGGAATGTGGGGAGAATAGGAAATACGTGGTAACCAGGTCAAATTACTACAACAAAGTTTTCATTATGTACTCTGCATCAAGCTATTTAGTCTGTGTATTAAATCCCAAATCCTTTCTCCTAACGTTCTAGGTATGTGGCATTAAAAATTACTATACATTTGTGAACTCCAGTTTCCTCAACTATGGAATAACAATAAACCACTTATTACATAGGAATATACAACAATTAAATGACCTAATGTATAGAATAGAACTACTAAACCCCCACATTTGATGTGTTCCATAAATTCCTGTTGGATAAACACACAGTTGAAATACATGATCAGCTCCTTCAGACATACTGTGACTATAATTACAATTTCTATAAATGGCATGAAGAATTTATACGGTTCTCATATTTATCTTGAGACTCAGACAAATATGTTTTCAATGTTATGCATACATATATTTGTTAATGATATAAATATGTACACATATTTATATTTAAATCTGTAATATTTCTATGTAATCTGACAAATAAATGACATTTCACTTTTTGTTCCCCAGAGAGGATTCTTTATACAGTGGCATGCAAACATTTGAGAAACATGAGTTCTAAACAAGTATTTGTTCATACTCAAAGTACTGACACCTCTCTGGTGGAAAATATCTAATATATCTCAAAATTTATCACACATATTATTTTATTGTTTCTAGTCAGTAAATATATTGAACACAGTGAGGCCTAACCCAAAAAATGAAAATGTTATCCATCCCTAAGCCTTACAGAAATACAGGCATTTATATTCTTTGCAGTTTAAATAAAATGGAAGGTTAATAAATAACAAATAATAGGAAATTAATGTATGTAATGCTATTAAAATAGTTTTTAAAACATTTTATTAAGTATTCTCTGTTGATTTTGCTCTCATAAGCAGAAAAATATCTAATTAATTTATTAATTATAATTAACTATATAATTATGTATCACATATATATGATATATGCATATCATATATATATGATTTTAGCCTTATTCTAGTCAGCAGATGGAATCATTCATTCAATATATATTTATTAAGTGTTGACTATGTGCCTAACACAATTCTAGGTGCTATAGTATAGCATGATGAATAGTAGTTCACATCATAATGGAAGGAAATATCTAAATTATATATATCTATACATAAAATCATATATATATATACACACATATATATATTACATCACAAATGGTGAAAATATATTTTAAAACGGGAGGTAAGAAACACCTGTGACTTCCATTTTTAATTATGGTTTGGGAAAGCCTTACCAATAGATGCAACTAGAATGGGAATCAGTGGAAAAAAGGATGACAGGTCATTTCTGGGATCCAAATTATGATTGATTCAAATAGAAATAAAGGCTATAATGGTATTAATTATCAAGATCTTGGGGAAATAAAGGCGCTTCCCTGTGGTTGGGTGGGGATGTTGCTAGTGAGCACAAATTACTCGGTAAGGTTTTGACAGGGACTTGTATAACTCTCTTTCTCCTGTCAAGTACACGCTTTCACAAATACACACACATACACACTCACAAATAACTTTTATAGTTTAATTTTACCTCAGTCCTAAGTCATTTGAAAATTAGCTATTACTAACATTCTGCATCTCTGCTTTTAAATATCAGTAATCATATATTAGCTGTAACTATTTAGGTGTGAGACTCAGAGAAATGGAAAAGATTGGAAGGTAACTTTGACTATTTTTGGTGATTATTAGTGTTTCTAAAATAGGCTTAACTCATTGTGTTGTTTCTTTTATTTAAAGGTTTACTAAATCTCACAGCAAAGCATGATAAATAATTTATCTTCAACATCCAAACTTAATTCAAAATGGTTTGTTTATAAATGTGCACTGACATATAAAAACCTGTCGTATTATATTTAGCAGAAGAACCATAAAAACAGCATAGCCATGCATTCTACTGGCCATTTTTCTGCCATGGAGTCAATTAAATAGTATCTATTATGTTCACGGCTCCAGGAATGAAAGGATTAGAAAGGCATAGTTTCTGACCTCAAGACATATAACTTGGGGTAGATAAACAGCACAGAATAAATATTCACTGGTATTAACAAAATGAGCTAATACATTGTATTAATAATATGTTTTGAGAGTATTCACAAAGGAGTTATTATCTCTATGCTTTAGACTAGGATAAAACCGAGTTTTTGTGACGTACGGGACACAAATGATAATTGAAAGATAGTGGAACAAGATCAATTATCAACAATGATTTTTAACACTGAAGTACATTTCCACTTTTTACTTATTTTATTGTTTCTGGCTATCAAACCTATATTGAATGTTACCCTAGTCAATTAATATATTTAACAACTGTATGCATTCATAAAATCCCTTAACAACTCTAGAAATTTTGATTTTTCATATTGAAAATGAAAAGATACATCTTTAGAAGATTGTTTTGGAGATTAAATAAAAGACTACATTTAAGAGTTTACCGTAGAGTCTGGCACATAAAAATCCCAGTCAACATTAGTGGCTTTATCAAAATCTTATAATATTATGAAAGAATTTCAGCAAGACTATATGCAACGTATACAGATGCAGTGTAAATATGTGTGTGTTTCTACAAGTATACAACCCAGGTCTGAACAGGGCAGGTCTACTTACACACAATTTAAAAATTAATATAGTACTATACTATAAAAGTATTTTTTCTTCCTTTAAATTTTAATAACATTTTAATGTAATTATATAAATAATTCTCACATTACTTTATCATGAGAATATAGTATATAACACATGTACAAAATACATGTTCTTTGATGGTTTATATTATCAATAAGGCTTCAGTCAACAGTAGGTTATTAATATTTAAGACTTTAGGGAGCCAAAAGCTATGCATGGATTTTTGACTCTACAAAGGTCAGCACCCCTAACACATATGCTATTCAGGGGTAAACTGATTCATATTTATTTCAAGGTTTGTTTATTTTTGAGACAACATAAGAAAATCTTAAATCTATATTTTTTACCATAATTAGCATGTTAGTTTTTGTCTTGTTTTCTACTTTCTATGAAAATCAAAATATATTATAAACTTTTAATTTGATTGAATAAAAACTTACTTTAGCATTAAAGTTGCTCTAGTATTAAAATAAAAGCACTAGCTTAATTAGTGTAACTACATAATCTATATGATTAAAGTAAGCCTAAATGTCAATTTATTTTATACTTGAAATGATTTAACATAGGGAAGTGAAGTATTTCCCCAATATTAAAGAACTTAAAGTTATGATTTGTATGAAATTAAAATGTCTAATTAGATTTCTATAGATACTAATTCTTTGCCAACCTATACATCTCCAGCTGGTATAAACAGCCTTTTTTGTTTACTTTTATTGCAAGTTAAAAAAACATAACACTTACGCTTTAATTTTAAAAGTTTTAAACTTAATGTGGGAATAACAGAAACTAGTTGATTAAGTCTTAACATATTTACTTATTTTTATAAGTCTATTACTATGACAATGTAAGCTTTAATGATTTTTTTCAATGAGCCCTCTCTGTACTTTGTCAAGAAATATTTAATTTCAAAAATTATAAATTTTCAAATTACTACCATTCCATGTTTTAAAATGTGCACTTTTATATGGAAATTATATTCTGAAGGCATTACTGAACTAAGTGCTCCTAGGTGTATAATAAAGCAGACACCTAGTAGTTTAGTTCGTAACTGCTAGGCACTGTGAGCAAATTCAGAAGGGTGACTGTACCTTGTGTCGCAATCTTATTAGAGGTTGGTAGGATTTAAGGCCATATCCTGCTTCTTTGGTTGGCCTTCCTTCTGACTCCAGAAAAATTAATCCAAGAACCAAGACAGCTGACCAGCACTTAAACATTCTTATTGCTTTTCACCTGTGAAAATCAGCATTGCAAGTAATCAGAAAATGCATTATATATTGGGGAAAAATGCATCAGGAAATATTCAACAGTGCATAGAAATCTCCACATATCTAATCAAAATGAGTGGGTAATTGCCAAGTGAATCCATAATAGGTTAGCATCTCCAAATAAAGATTATGATCCCCTTGATCATAACAAATACTGTTTTTTTTTCACTCATCTAGCCTTACACAGCATTAGAAACGTAGATATACACGCCAATCAAAATGTATTGAGGAGAATTAATTAAAACCAAGTTGAAAGAAAATAAAAAACAAAAACAAAAAACAACTGAACTTTAAACCATGGCTAATTTTCTAAGCATTCATATTAAGTACGATTATCAACATGCTTATAAATTTTGAACTCCTCTTTAAGTACATTTGATGAATAACACTTAATAAAACTATAGTTATTATAATTCACTAGTAAAGACTGCGGAGAGTTTGATAAGGTCATCTTCTCTGGGAGGCACTTAATGAGCTGAGGTACAACAATTATGCAGACAGTTATACTGAGTTATGAATGCATTTTTCGAATACTATCTAAAAGAATATTTTCTAGAAAACTTCTTAGTAAGTGCCTTAAATTTAAGCAACATGAGTCTATCCACTGCTCTATGTCTTTGAATACAGCAGAGAAATATAAAATGCCATAAATTTATCATCATATAAATTCTAACCCCTCTTCCAAACAAACAAATCTATGCTTAAAATATATATACATATATTTTTTGTAATTTATTCGAGATACACAGAGAGAGGGAGGCAGAGACATAGGCAAAGGGAGAAGCAGGCTCCCTGTGGGGAGGCCAATGTGGGACTCAATCCTGGGACCCCAGGATCACACCCCGAGCCAAAGGCAGATGCTCAACCGCTGAGCCATCCAGGTGTCCCACAAATCTATGCTTTGAATTAAACTATAACTCACCTTATAATTTTAACCAGCGCATCTTTGCTCCTCTTGTGACAATAGAGGAGCTCTTTCTCCTCTTCTCTACTCTATTCTGTACATCTGACTTCTTGAGAAACTTAACCAATGAATAAACCCTGCTAGTTACTGTCTAAACTTCCCCACTTAGTTATTAACTTCCCTCTTTAAAGATACTCAAATCACCCAGGTTTTAAGATAATTTCTCTCCTCTACTTTCTGAATTTTCTGAAAGAGTTGTGTATCTCTCAATTTTTGAACTTAGTTCACTCGAGCATGCTTCTACCCCTATTGCTCTATCAAAGTAACATTTCTTTTTTTTTTTTTTCCAAGAACTGGTCACTTGGGGTTTAAGACACCCCTCTCTTCAGTTTTTGTAGAATTTATGAAAATTTCTCATCCCTTTTGCAGGTTCATCTCACTCCTTTGCTTCACCATTAAAAATCATAGTTTATCCAATCTCATTCTTAGCCACATACCTGTTCTATTTATCCAGTCCAGACATTCCACATCATCTATGGTTTTAATTACAGTTAATTCCTGCTTTTCAACAGTTCACTTTGCTTTCATGGAACACCTGCATTAGTACCTGTTTTCACTAAGAGAAATATGAAAAGGATTTTGCTTTCACAAAAAGAGGTGAAAAGAGGAAACAGTGTTCTGCATTTGTTTTGCATTAGCCCTTAAGGAAGCAGCCCGCCTGGGGGCATGGAGTAGTGAGTGGTCCCGCCAAGCCCCTTCCCTGGGAACTACATCCAGCATTTCAGCACCAAGCCTCCAGGGCTTTTGAAGTGTCCCTGTGAGCATCTGTGCTTTGTCTTGATTTATTTGTGCAGCCACTAGCTTTTCTGTCCTAAGGTAACAGAAAAGCCTGAGAGGGCTTATTTTTGGGGTCATGAGAACACTTAAGAAATTTTCCACGTAAATTAATGGTAACTGCTTCTTTGTTTTATGCTGTTTGGGGCTTATGGAAGATATCATAGGAATGTTGTACTTTCTGATAGTGGCAGCGGCGGGGGGGGGGGGGGGGGCGCTTTATATCGTTGCTTCTCATCCAGTCCCCAGATTAAGACAGCCTATGCGGCGCCTGGGTGGCTCAGTGATTGAGCATCTGCCTTTGCCTTAGGTTGTGATTCCGGGCTCCTGGGATCCAGTCCTGCATCTGGCTCCCCACAAGAAGCCTGCTTCTCCCTCTGCCTATGTCTCTGCCTTTCTCTCTGTGGGCCTCTCACAAATAAATAAAAATAAAATCTTAACAAAACAAACAAACAAAAAAAGCCTACTTAACAGCTCCACGTGTATATTCCAAAAGCAGCTCATGGTATACAAACCCCACATAATGTAATGCTTTCCCAGATTTTCTTTCATCCATTTAGTCAAGCCAGAAACAAAGGAGACAACTTTGTGTCCCACACCTTTCACATTAATTATTTTTTAAAGATTTTATTTATTTATGAGAGACAGAGAGAGAGAGAGAGAGAGAGAGAGGCAGGGACACAGGCAGAGGGAAAGGCAGGCTCCATACAGGGAGCCCCTGAGCCAAAGGTAGATGCTCAACCACTGAGCCACCCAGGCGTCCCTCATCCCTTTCATATTAAACCCATCCCTAAGTTCTGTTAGTTCTGCCTTCAAAATATATTTCCCAAACAACAGTTTCTTTCCCGTCTACTGTCACAACTCTAGTTCAGCTCTCAGCACCACACTCCCCTACACTTCCCCGAACACAACCTTACTGGCCACCCACGTTCATGCATATGTGTACCTTGAATCATTCCCTATGCAATAGCCTACGTGATCATGTCAAATGCAAATATCATGACGTCATTGCCCTTGTTAATAAATTTAGGATATACTCCTTTACCCTTAAGATAAAAACCAAAATCCCTGACATACCCTACGGGTGCCCACAGAGTCTAGGCTCTGGATGCTTTTCTCTTCCTCTAAAGAACTGCTGTCCAGCCACACTGACTTTCATTCAGTTCTCTGAACTTGGTCCATTCTCACTAGCTGACTTTTGTACACTATTTTCTTCACTTGAGATACACCTTCCCCGGGACACCTGGGTGACTCAGTGGTTGAAAGTCGGCCTTCGGCTCAGGGTGTGATCCCAGAGATCAAGTCCCCACATCCGGTTCCCTGCAGGGAGGCTGCTTCCCCCTCTGCTTGTGTCTCTGCCTCACTTCACTCTCTGTGTCTCTCATGAGTAAATAACTAAAATCTTTAAAAAAAAAAAAAAAAAAAGGAAAGAAATCCACCTTTTCCACCCCCATTTATCACCGAAGACCTTCACATATCAAACATATCCCTTAAGAACCTTTCCCTATAACACCAAGCTTGAGTTACATTTCTTAGTTACTCATGCTTATAAATGAGTTTTCCTTCATTTCAGAGCAACCATTTGTAATTATATATCGTTATTATATATGCTGTTTTATATATATATATATATATAATAATTTATAATGAGTTGAATAATTGTGGCCTTCTTCACTACATTATCTATCAGTCTTCTCCTTCAAACTGCATGAATACAGGGATCTGGGTGTTTTTTGTTTTGTTTTGTTTTTTCCAGCATTATATCATCTGGGCCTAGCAAATTGTCTGGTACCTACTAGACACTCAATAAATGAAAGCATAAATGAATGTCATCCTGCATTCAAGAGCAAAAAAAAAAAAAAAAAGATTGTGTTTTCTTGCATTCTGATGATATTGAATGCAATTCCTATTTCACTACCGCTACAAAACATCTGAAAACTAAACCAGAAAACTAAATAATTTCATTTGCAATCCATCCCTTTGCTGTCATTTTGATGTATAGTCTAATACTTCTCTCAGAGGTAAATATTTGTTTATAAGACAACTGGATGGAATATTTTAAATCCAAGATAGAGCCCAAGAATAAAGCAAACAGGATCAACTCAGCCAAAGGGATATTTTCTAAAGGTTCTGAATACTATGTGTTCCTTCGTTTGTCAAACAGAAGCAGGAGGAAAGAGGCACAGCAATAGCCTTGTGTCATCATGACAGGGTAAGTTGAATCATAAATTTCTCAAACTGCTCATTTAAGGGTTTCTCTTATTCTGTCCTTTCTCTCTCACACACACATCCACACGCTCAATCACACACACGTATTTCACATAGCTACAAATATTTCATATACTATAAAATACACATTAAATGAACAATTAATTAATTTTAATTGGTGACCAAAAGTTTTACAAATCTTGAGAAAACTTCCACACATTGATAATTAGATCAATAATCTCCTGAAATATTTTCTCTGCTAAAACGCAATACACTAGGAATGTCTGCTTTAAGAAATTTCACCAAATGTTGGTTACAACAGTCAACACGTAAATCTTCAGCGCATCATATACAACTTATTTATACCACTTTAATTCTCATATTATTAAGTATGATGAATTTTTTCATTGATAATCCTATAATTTTCAAGTCTAAAATTTATTAATACCAAGTTATACAAAACTTAAAAATAGAAAAATAAAAATATAAATGCTTAATCTCAGAAAATGCTATCAGACAACTGGAGTGATTTACTTGGTATCACAGAGAAAATGAAACAATTCATATTAAAAGTCAGATACCGGGGCACCTGGGTGGTTTGGTCAGCCAAGCATCCAGCTGTTGGTTCTGGCTCAGGTCATGGTCTCAGGGTCATGAGATCAAGCCCTGAGTGTGCTCTGAGTCTGCTTGATATTCTCTGTCTCTCCCTCTCCCTTCGCTCTCCCCTCCCTCCACTCTCTCATAAATAAATAAATGAATAAGCAAATAAATAAATAAACATAATCTTTTTAAAAAGGTCAGATACTATATTTTTGAGAAATCTGATTTCTATTGTAGATAGGTGTTGGCCTTGCCAGTGAGTGTTAGACAAAAAACAAAGACCAGTTTCTGCATTTATCTTCTGTGAATGTCTACCTTGCAAGATTTTGTCCATTAAGATATTACTAAGAAAAATAACTGAATCCCATTATATGGCTATCAATTAGCAATCTAAATAAAAAGA